ATCATATAGCAAGGATCAATAATCAGTCCAAACAATCATTGGCTTCTTCAATAAATAATGTTGCCATACCTTTGTAACATGTACCATTACTAATTACTCTAGATTGTGTATAAAATAATTATGCTTTGCCCTTTTGGGCTTGTGTCATTCATATGCCACAAGTTGAAGGCCCCTACTAATGTCTTATTAAAGGACCGCTTCAATAGCAAAGTTACAAGTATCAATGTCAAGCATACAAGAAAGGTTAGAATCCTATGGCTGCAATATTGGAACAATAATGAGTGCTTCTTTCAATTTATCAAAGGTGCTTTGTTGCTCCAATTTCCATTCAAATAAAGCATCCTTTCTCCAATAGGTTTATCAATGAATCAACAATGTATGCAAATTGCTATATAGAATGATAATAATATCCAACAAGGCCTAAAAATGAACAAACTTCAAAAGCATCCTTGGGGGTTGGCCAATCCTTTATTACTTTCATCTTATCATACTCCATATGCATGCCTTCAAAAGACACCTCATGTCCCAAAAAAATAACTTTTGACTTCCAAAGTTCACATTTTGATTGCTTGCAATAGAAGCGACTATCTTCTGGTTGGTATAGCACTTTTCATAAATGTAAGTCATATTCTTCAGGGATTTTATTATATATAAGGATAATATCAATGAAAAAAACTATATATTTATCCAAAAGGTTCCAAAATAATTTGTTCATGTGATCTGTGAAAGAGGCTGAACCATAAGTCAGGCTAAAAAATAAATCCAATCATTTGAAATATCCATAGTCCGTACAAAATGTCGTCTTTTCTACATTTTCTCTTGCAATAGGTATTTGTTAATAGTTTCTCTAAAGATCTAATTTACTAAAGATGGTCGCACCTCAAAATTGATCAAGAAGATCATCCACGCATAGAAGTAGATATGCATTTTTAACAATTTGCTTGTTGAGGCCTCAATAATTGATGCAAAGCCAAAGTCCATCATCTTTCTTGAGTGCAAAGAGTATAGGTGCTCTCCATGGTGATGTGCTTTTTCAAATGAGATCTTTCTCTAAAAATTCGTCCAATGTCTTCTATAGCTCTTTAAATTCTTTTGGTACTAGGCGATAAATTGGTCGACTTGTTGGTTTGGCTCCAAAAAATAGATCTATTTGAAAGGAGGCACTTCAATCACGAAGCATACCACTAGACAGGTCCATTGGAAAAATATCTTGATATTTTTATATCAATTGATCTATCCATTCTATTCCTTCAATTGTCTTTCTTACCATTGATGCAAGATTTGAAACTACTAATATACTAGTTGTTTATATTATATTTGTTTCTTCTTAAAAATCATCCCTATAAATAAGTCTTTTGTTGTAGATTATCTTTCTTCCTTATTTGATGCAAAAGTACAAAGAATCACTTTATGGCTACCATCTTTAAAGGAGATTGTCCTTGCTATCCAATCAACTTCCTTACTTTCTATTTCTAGCCATGGAATACCAAGGATAACATATCTTAGTTTTATTACCTTCAACCTCTGTCTTAAATGTAGGTGTCAGTTAACCTCAAGGTTTCTTCTTTAGATATTTGATTTAATGCATTCTCTTAGTCATCTATAAGATATTAACTTCTTTCCTTGATTTGCTTAGTTTTAATTGTCTTCTTAGTAGTCCCATTAAATACACTACTAGACTCTTATTATAGTTCTTTGAGGCCATGCCATTTATCTTTGAGAGATAGTATCTATTTCTAATATTGGCCTTTAGCACCTTTATTGAGGAGCCTTGTTTTCTTGCTCTGTCTCATTATCGAATTGGTAAATTTTAAAATTGTGAATTTACCTTATTTTTCTACTGCTTAAATTTTGACATTTTGGACAACCTCCAATCTAATGGCTTGACTTCCAACAATAAAAATATAATTCTTTTTGTACCAATATTTGTCATCTTTGTAATATCAATGATCCTTGTAATGCATCAATCTTCATTAGTGTTGGTTGTTGTATTATAGTATTAGATAATGGCATAGGATTTTGTACTATAAGTCATACTCCACGATTTCTAAAATCTATAGCATCAACCTTATCAATAATCCAAATTGCCTCTTCAAATGTTTGAGGATCTCTTAGTTCTATCTCTCACTAGACCCCAGGTTTCAAACCTTGTAGGAATCGATCCATCATCTTCGCCTTCAAAACATTACCAATTTAGAGACATAGAGACTTAAATCGAGAGATATAATCTTACATCAATCTAGATTGTGTAAGATTTGTCAACTAATCGCGTGATATCTTCTTTACATTCATGGGCCAAAATTGATTCTTAAACTTGGTTTCAAATTCCTCCCAATTGACTTTTTAAGAATAACTCATGGTAGCTTTAATACAATATCTAGTGTAACCACAATAATTGACCTTGGATTAGATAATGACTAACAATATACTATCAAAAAACAATCTAATAGTTGCTCTGATACCAATAAAACAAGACCGATCTACCTCAAGTGTCCAAGACTCTTCTAATCCACAGCAATATAAAATCTTATCATAAGGTAAGACAAACTAGACTAGAACAAAATTGAATAAAACTAATAGAATGAGATATAAAAGATAAAATTGAATAATCTTAATTAAAACAAAACAAAATAAGAAGATACAAAAGTCCATTGTATTAAGAGAAAGGATCCAAAGCCATACTTGACCAGATGCCCCAAAAGGCCTTAGCTAGTCCTATTTATACTTAATTCTACCACCTTGGACTTTCTAGAATATTCCTAGTTGATGGGCCCTATGTAAATAACTACCTTAAATTCTTTTTATAACGTTCTATGGTAGATCCCATCTACATAATTATCCTAAGATTTTCTAGAATGATTCGTGGTAGATCCTATCTGATCCACTAACTTAATTTTAATTTTAAAAACTTCCATAATTTTGAAACATAGTTCTAAGTATCTATTCTTATGTGCCAATAATACAAATATCTTATCTATACCTTGTTACACAATCAGTAGGCTTCTTTTTTTCTTTAATTTATACCCAACTTGTCTTATATATCAGATATACACACACATGTACTTATCCTAAGTTGATTTAGATTTGTTAAGACAAATGATATCATTGTGTATGTATTTTTCATCCAATATAATTATTTATTTAAAGATTTTTTCATCCATATTATAATTTCTTTTATAATACATATTTCTATCAAGAGTATATAACATATATTTATTTATTTCATTTATATTATTTAATTTCAAATGATTTATTTATGTATTGCTTATACACATATATAAAAAGATTTTAGACATTAAAAAGGAAATTAAATACAAAGTCCATTGTAAAAAGCTATGATACAAAAGTTTCACTAAAGTCACATGTATAGAATGAATATATATATATATATATATATATATCTTCTTAATTTCTTCAATGATTGTTCTTATAATTTTTTCATACTAATTCTTGAATTAAAATATATTTCTTAAACCTACTGCCAATCATAAGAAACAACACTACATATGTCAAGCAAAAAATAGTTACATCCCACCTCATTATTTCCTCTTAAAACATTAGGGTTGATATTCCAAAATATAAAATCAATGGAGTGATATGGCATTACAAAGATTGTCTCTTTTGAATTTAACCCGTACTCTAACAAAGGGAGTAATTGAAACAGTTGTCATCTTTGATGTATGAAGTGTTGTATACTGAAAACAAAATTTAGCATTTTGCTACAACTGAATGTGAATTTCACAAATTTCAAAACTTTATACAGCACATAAATAGGTTGCTGTTTAATTAAGAGCATTTGATCTTGTAATCAGTTCACATAACCATTAATAAAACTTTAACAAAAATCATTCGGTGGTACTTAAACGATGGTAAAAGAGTAGTCTTTGATTCTGATGGTGCTTTTAAATGTTTCTTTGTCTTATCGTCATTAACACTATTAATAGATTCCTATAATCGACCTTCATTGTTCATTTTTGGAAACATAGCTTTAAATCTTAAATTTAAAAAATATGCAATAAGACCAATCCAACAAAAAGAATTTTGAAGTGACATTGAACATAGTTGTGGATATGTTTAAAGATGTTAAACCATCTGTATGCAGCTACTTAATTCAACTTGCAAAAATAAGTTTAGAAGACAACTAATGGAAGTAGCTCAAGTGAAATTATAAAGACTTCAAATCATTTTTTAATCTAACAGTAATGAAAATTTGTGTGTATAGATGTGTCAATTTACACGATTTTCAAATAATCATTTACTATATTTGAAGAGCCATAATGGACAATCACAGGCAGCGGCAGCATTTGCGAGAACACCGATGTCAATTCCATGCTGAAGTACGATAGTGTCCGTGGGCGCAAAGACGAGGGCAGTGCAGGAAGGGGCAAGTTGGCGAAGGCAAGCGCGGTGCCACGGGCATGGAATGCGACACCACCCCTGGATCGCATTCGCACTCGGACTGCACCCGATGCGTACGAGTCCCCAATACCGTAGGTGGACCAAAGGAGTGGTAGAAAAACAGATTCAGGAGCGAGGGAAAGGAGAAAAGCGGGAATGCAGCAGCAGCAGGAGCGCATTCGCACAAACAGATACTAGTTGGAGGATCGCAGCAGCAGCCCAGCCGATCCTCGGTACAGACGCTTCGTGCACAGACACGGACACGGAAGCGGAGAGGAGACCCCCGCCCCCCCCCCCCCCGACGGAGCAGCAAGCGAGGTGTAGCCCTCCCTCCCCGAAGCACATCCAGATAGATGCTGCATGCCCTGGCGACCCCGGCGATGGAGCAACTGAAGCGACGAGCGTGGCAATCGCGTCGCGCATCGGGTGCTTGAGCAGCGGCACATAAGTCATAGATGCGGTTTCCTTTCGAGGGAGGGAGTGGATGCCGGAGAGCGTGGCAAGGAGACGGGGGGGGAGGTGGGGCGAGGAGGCGAGTCGCAGCGTACTAGTAATACAATCCGATTCCTCCATGCATGTCCGGGGCCTTCCAACTCACCCTAGCTGGCTTGCCCGAGTGGTCTAAGGGGGGCGACTTAAGATCGCCTATGCGTAGGCATGCGTGGGTTCAAACCCCACAGCCAGCAATTAGAGCGATGAATTCCCCTCTTGCTCTCCTAATGGACCTTGTGATTCATCAAACCCTCCTTGCGACCCACTTTGAAAATCTATCGAATTCTTTAAAATAACACATGTAAAAAAACGTGATGTAAATATGAAAGATTATTTATGTAAAGAATCTTTATAAACTTGGTTTGGAATCAAAATATTGATTGAAAAATATCGAGAGGGAATTTGGGCACTGACTAATTGAGTCAAGACGACATCACGGGTAGGGGTATTCTGGTCTAAAAGAAGTGCTGTATGGTGACAGTGGGTTGCAAGGAGGGTTTGATGAATCACAAGGTCCATCAGGAGAGCAAGAGGGGAATTCATCGCTCTAATTGCTGGCTGTGGGGTTTGAACCCACGCATGCCTATTTATGTAAAGAATCTTTATAAACTTGGTTTGGAATCAAAATATTGATTGAAAAATATCGAGAGGGAATTTGGGCACTGACTAATTGAGTCAAGACGACATCACGGGTAGGGGTATTCTGGTCTAAAAGAAGTGCTGTATGGTGACAGTGGGTTGCAAGGAGGGTTTGATGAATCACAAGGCCCATCAGGAGAGCAAGAGGGGAATTCATCGCTCTAATTGCTGGCTGTGGGGTTTGAACCCACGCATGCCTACGCATAGGCGATCTTAAGTCGCCCCCCTTAGACCACTCGGGCAAGCCAGCTGGGGTGAGTTGGAAGGCCCCGGACATGCATGGAGGAATCGGATTGTATTACTAGTACGCTGCGACTCGCCTCCTCGCCCCACCTCCCCCCCCGTCTCCTTGCCACGCTCTCCGGCATCCACCCCCTCCCTCGAAAGGAAACCGCATCTATGACTTATGTGCCGCTGCTCAAGCACCCGATGCGCGACGCGATTGCCACGCTCGTCGCTTCAGTTGCTCCATCGCCGGGGTCGCCAGGGCATGCAGCATCTATCTGGATGTGCTTCGGGGAGGGAGGGCTACACCTCGCTTGCTGCTCCGTCGGGGGGGGGGGGGCGGGGGTCTCCTCTCCGCTTCCGTGTCCGTGTCTGTGCACGAAGCGTCTGTACCGAGGATCGGCTGGGCTGCTGCTGCGATCCTCCAACTAGTATCTGTTTGTGCGAATGCGCTCCTGCTGCTGCTGCATTCCCGCTTTTCTCCTTTCCCTCGCTCCTGAATCTGTTTTTCTACCACTCCTTTGGTCCACCTACGGTATTGGGGACTCGTGCGCATCGGGTGCAGTCCGAGTGCGAATGCGATCCAGGGGTGGTGTCGCATTCCATGCCCGTGGCACCGCGCTTGCCTTCGCCAACTTGCCCCTTCCTGCACTGCCCTCGTCTTGGGACATCATTTTTGGAAGTACTTTGTGCTAATGTTTTGGCTGTGTAGAGTTACAGGGCCTTTTTTCGAGAACAATTAAAGTATATGTAGTATCAGACGTTGCTTTTGAGCGGGGATGTGATTAATTATCGCAGTTCTAACTTTATTTTTAAACATAGACACCCCATTTATGGGGCAAGCGTTTCGACCAGCGTGTTTGGTTTTGTGATCATGCCCTGGTTTTGTAGTAAGTTTGACGTGCCAGCGGACGCTCTGAAGCAGCGGGGGCATTCCCGTTTACCGTGGCTGAAGGGTGCAGATTAGAGATGCTTTAATTTACGTACCTTGAATTCATTGGAAACACAGTAATGGTGCACCATGGTAATTTTACGGTTTCATTTGGACATGATTGTTGAAGTGATTGGTAGCCGTCAGTGAACCAAGAAGGCTTTTCACTGTAAGATTACGGGAGTTGAGGAGATAGAGGAACAATTGTGTATTCAGGATAAAGAATTCGCCCGTTTTTTTCATTATTACGAAAAGAGACGCGTGACCTGCATCAAAATTCGTGGATAAGTGAAGAGGCTTTTTGGCATTAAATTAGAGAGATCGTTTTTTCAAGTATAGTCAGATCAGTAGAGAGGTAATGGCCTCACCTACTATGAGAATGAGTTCCGTCGAGTCAAGACCCTGGTGTTTTGAATAATAACGAAAACGGCTGAAAGTCCCTCAATGTGATGGCATTAACATGACAGCACCAAGGAATATGGAACATTCAGCAATGAACTGTTCCGGATAGACACAAAATTCAGCCAGATGAAAGAGATTGGGCTTCAGGTCAAGTCTTAAGTTGCAACATTCAACCTCATCAAACATCCGTTTTGTAATAAGCTACACAGGATGCAGCGACAAGGTGCCATGACCATAATCTGTGGAGGTTTGAAGTGGTCTTTTAGAACTTAACAGCGGAACACAAAGGGATGGCTCCACGTATGTGCTTCACATACGCTTGATATTCACTTCAGTGCATGGTGTACAAGGAGCTCTGATAGCGCGTGATACGAAACTTGCGTCTCATTGATTCTGTGATGAGGCCTGCATAACTCGCCTTGCGTGCCAGAGAGTCCACTGTTTCTAATTTTGTCCATCCTGCACAAGTTCTTCAATTCATTAGCCGTCAAAGTAAACGAGGGGGAACCTACATAGCAGAAATTACACATGCTCAGTGCACATACAACAATGATATTTTTCTACCGCACATTGGTCGAAAATTGAAATATAACAGCTCTTATAAGAATCTTGTTACTATTTTGATGCAAATGTTAGACGCTTACCTTCCTGTGCCGCAACTTCAGGAAGATAAGTAGCGCTTCGTCGCGTGCTGTCAGGGTGGGTGAACTCCAGAATCATACCATGTTTCCAACCTAAAATTTGACCATATTCATCTTTGAATGAGCCAAGGGTAACTAGATTTCCGATATGAATCAAAATTTAAAATTCGAAATTCAAAAAGTAGTTCTTCATGCATGAGTTATTCAGTTGCCCACAAATGGGTTGATTCTAGCTAATGAGGTCAAGAGAATTTTAACAAGATACTAGGCCAAAAACCCGTTAATGAAGCGATTTTTTTGTTTTTTTTTAAGGATTATTGTTTACAAGAATGAGGAAGAAAATACTCAGTGAAGACCCGCACATATCAGCTTGGCAGCATGGGAAACAGAAGCAGTGAAATCACACGACATACAGTATATTCCTACTTCATTACATAAAGAAAAATTCATAGAACATCCCAAAGCCCGTCAAGGGCAACACAGAAAGGAAACTGAAGCTTGACCTGCAGTCACACTACACAGCAGATGAAAAAAAGTCTCCAAAGGGTAAACCACGTACTTCATACCTCCCAATCAAGGTAATTAGATGCAGTTTCGTAATCTGTCAGTAGAGACACCGTGCATTCCAAATATGGGAGCTCGCGTGCCTGAATTGGAGGGAAGCGACGGTCTCGGAGTGCACTGCAACACAGGGTTTCTGAAATTTAAACCCGTTTAATAGAGTGAGCCTAGTAAACGTCATGAAGTCTCGCAAAAAGTTGAATTATTAATTGATGAATACAACAACTTGATACTACACAAGCACTTTCTCTGCAGTATTAGGGAAATTCGTAAAAAGAGAGACTTCCTTGACTCGCTTACAATTCCACTCATAATCTATTCGTTAATAAACCACATGCGGTAAGGAACCTTGTTGTGTAACTAGATATCTCCTCTGGTCGATCTTAGAATTAGGTAGGGTTATATTAAGCTAGAAAACTTGCTCCACAATACTCTCGCTTCTTTACCCAAAAAGCATAGTCGAGCAGGGAGAACCATTAAAGCCAACTGGAAGGAATTATAAGTACTTTTAATAAACCAAAGTATGAGTTCGCGAGTATGGATTGAACACGCAATCCACAGCCGGAACCAGAACTACCTGGTGAGTGCATAATCTTTGAACCCGGAGATAATGTATCGGGCTTCCAGTGTACCAATGCACCCCCGCAAGCGTGGCTCCCCACCATTCAACATTTTCTTCCATGTGACAAACAAAGGGCTGCCACAAAGCCCACAAAACACAAAGTCAACATTTCACTTTAAAGGGAATAAATGTGCTCTGGAGACCGTGACCTTCCGAAGGCCTACGTATATTCACCCAAAATTGGGCCACCATGGTACCCTAACGTGGGCAACAAATCTCACCGGATGAAGACACAATCTTCAAATATCAACCTTGTCCTGTGATTCTGTCCGTATGATGGCAAGCGGTACCAGATGATACCATGTGGTCATTGACACCAAGTGATCCAGCTATCACTGTTCCACCAACAACGTTAGAGAATCTATACATCCTCTCCAACCTTTAAAAGCGAACTCATACATCACGCAACCATCCAAAGAGACAAAAATATACTTCAGTGTGATATCGATTTTGATATCAGCACACAGAATCCAAGTTCAAATACATCATAGATGAAAGATTAATGAGTTGACCCGAAACAGGAATGATGCTAGGAAAAAAATTGATGGCAATACCATCAGTTATTATAAACCAAAAACTATAGAAATAATGAAATAATACTAAGTAATAAATTATAAATTTAAAAAGAGCAATTTGGAGCTGTTGATTGCAAATGATTAAGCACGCTTCACAGATCCCCCTTTCATAACCAACAGCAAGATGCGACAAGAAATAGGTCTAATTGCAGGTAGAAAAAATCAAAGACAAAACAACCACAAACGAACACACAACGATGTGCTTAATCTGCGTGTATACGTCTCCACTACATACGCAATAGGTCTCTAATGTGTTCGCAAGAAGGTATTCAACGAAAACCCAAAAGGCACGTTCCTAAAACCACTGAAACAACCCACCTAGTGCTCATGGAAGCAACATATATCGCGCTTGAATGCGACAACCGCTAAAGAAAGACCAAACAGCAATCAAGAACCACAAAAACGTTCTCAAACAACCGAAAATGACAAAATGCAAGAAACAAGATTCTAACTTCGCAAGAAGAACCAAGAAAAAGCACGATACTTACAACTGCCCTTCTTCGAAATCAGGTGCGGGCACCACCTCGCCCGTGTAATGGGCAACCAAGGTGCAAAGCAGTACACTGCCATCTCCTTACTAGCGTACACCATCTTCTCC